CGGGGAGAGCATTGTCTCCGAGCGACGTGGTGGACCACGCCGATGATTTCAAGAAATTGCAGGCGAGGCCGTCCTATGCTAGCAGCGGCGTTGGCTCCCTTAGCGCGCCGAGCGTTGCCGTTGCGGGTCCTATCAAGGTTATGTCGGCTGCGTATGCGAGCACCGTGACATCCGGATGCACCGCTGCAACATGTCTAAGGCGATGCTGGATAGACGCCGCAAATAGCAGGGGGGCTAGGGGATCCCCTTGTCTGACGTCTGGGTTGGGGTTCTCCTCTGGGTGGGTCTTGCAGCGGGGGACCTTGGTGGGGCTCGAGTTGAAGTTGCTCGACCCGCTCGAGCTGGAGTCCATGGCTGAACCTCGTCCACGGACTTTGAGCCCGACATTGAGTCTAGGGACTCGTTACCTACAAAGGTGTTGTCTGATGTTGACTTCTCAGTATTGTTATCACTATCTTCCATTAAAGCCCATCGCCCCGCTTGCTGGTAAACCCTCTATCTCTCTCTCCCCGTCCTCTCCCTTTCCCCTGTCAACCCAGCAGTCGCTCGAGAGCGCGACTAGGAGGCACCAGGAGGCAGAAGGCAAGCTGGGATGAGCGTTGAAGGAGCTGGAGCGGCTGAAAGGGCTGCTAGGCAGCACTCTGGGGCAGCTGGAAGAGAGTCAGAGGCAGGTGTGTGTCAATGTGTGTTATGTTTGTATGTGTGTCTCATTTAGTTGTCTCATCTCATAGTTGTCTCACTACATAGTTGCCCCACTGCATTATTGTCTCACTGCACAGTTGTCTCACTGCATAGTTGTCTCACTGCATAGTTGTGTTGTCTTATTTAGTTGTCTCACTACGTAATTGTCTCACTGCATAGTTGTCTCACTGGACAGTTGTCTCATTGCATAGTTGTATCACTGCATAGTTGTTTGCATAGTTGTATCATTGCAAAATTGTCTCACTGCATAGCTATCTCACTGCATAGTTGTCTCACTGCACAGTTGTGTTGTCTCATTTAGTTGTCTCACTGCATAGTTGTCTCATTGCATAGTTGTCTCATTGCATAATTGTCTCACTACATAGTTGTCTCACTGCACAATTGTCTCACTGCATAATTGTCTCATTGCATAGTTATCTCACTACATAGTTGTCTCATTGCATAGTTGTCTCACTGCATAATTGTCTTCATAGTTGTATCATTGCATAAATTTCTCACTGCATAGCTGTCTCACTGCATAGTTGTCTCACCGCATAGTTGTGTTGTCTCACTGCATAGTTGTCTAATTGCATAGTTGTCTCATTGCATAATTGTCTCATTTAGTTGTCTCACTGCATAGTTGTCTCACTGCAAAGTTGTCTTGTCTCACTGCATAGTTGTGTTGTCTTATTGCATAGTTGTCTTGTCTCACTGCATAGTTGTGTTGTCTGATTTAGTTGTCTCACTGAATAAGTGTCTCATTGCATAGTTATCTCACAGCATAATTGACTCACTGCATAGTTGTCTCACTGCATAGTTGTGTTGTCTCATTTAATTGTCTCACTGCATAAGTGTCTCATTGCATATTTGTCTCACTGCATACTTGTCTCATGGCATAGTTGTCTCACTGCATAGTTGTCTCATTGCATAGTTGTCTCACTGCATAGCTGTCTCATTGCATAGTTGTCTAAGTACATAGTTGTCTCACTGCATAGTTGTGTTGTCTTACTGCATGGTTGTGTTGTCTCATTTAGTTGTCTCACTACATAGTTGTCTAATTGCATTATTGTCTCACTGCATAGTTGTCTCATTGCATAGTTGTGTTGTCTCACTGCATAGTTGTCTTGTCTCACTGCATAGTTGTGTTGTCTCACTTAGTTGTCTCACTGCATAGTTGTCTCATTGCATAGTTGTGTTGTCTCACTGCATAGTTGTCTTGTCTCACTGCATAGTTGTGTTGTCTCATTTAGTTGTCTCACTGCATAAGTGTCTCATTGCATAGTTGTTTCACTGCATAGTTGTCTCACTGCATAGTTTTCTCACTGCACAGTTGCGTTGTCTCACTGCATTGTTGTCTCACTGCACCGTTGTGTTGTCTCATATAGTTGTCTCACTGCATAGTTGTCTCATTGCATTATTGTCTCACTGCATAGTTGTCTCATTGCATAGTTGTCTCACTGCGTAGTTGTCTCATTGCATAGTTGTCTTGTCTCACTGCATAGTTGTCTCACTGCTTAATTATTAATTTCACACATCACTTCCTCTGCAGTGTTCTGAGAGGGATGCTCGGGTGGAGCAGACGAGCGCTCAGCTGGCAGAGGTGCGCGCTCAGCTGGCTGCGATTAGCGATCAGCTGGAGGAGAAGGATGTCCGACTGAAGGAAGTGACCGCGGAACAAGATCTCTTTCAAGAGGTAGGCTCTGGAGGGGGAAAAATGGGTGGCGGGCAGGAAAACTTTTGGTTTTCAAGTAGGGACAACCCTAAACCATTGTTCCTGTCCAGGACAACCCCACTGACGGACCGTTTCACAACAGAGTAGGTGGTTGGGCAGCCGCCAGGTTGTGATCCGAATCTGTTTGCGGCAGTCACACTCGTGAGGTGTAGCGAAAGGTACACCCAATCTGAACTGCACTGCCATTGCGAACTGGTGGGGGCTTAGGCAAAGTGAAGGGGTGAATGGGATCGTCAGTAGACAGTCGCCAACTCCATAGCCTGTAAGTGAGAACAACCAATGTGTGTGTCCTGAATTCAGGTTGACCGTCATGAGCCGTGATGCTGCTACTGTTGAGCATACTGGTGTGCCTGTACTTTGGGGGCAAGCGCATGTTGAAGAGGTGCGCCGGTGGGGTCTTGTGTCGCCTTGGCCAGCAGATCCCGTGCCTCTGTCGGTAGTCTGGCCTTGCACTCCGTAAGGCACCGGGCCAGTGGGGTAAGGGCCCGGTACTTCGCTGTCATTTGTGTAGAGACAAGTGCCAGGTTGGATTCCGCGCCCGTGCTGATGCCTGTGATCAATTCCCGGGCTTGACTGTAGCTGGTGAGGAAACTGTGTTCTCCTTCCACTGATGGGTCGGTTAGTCCAGCCCCCCCAAGGATGGAGGCAAAGAGACTTGAGCCCATGTCTGCGCCTGCTCCACTTCACCCCGGTGGGGATGGTACGGCAGGCTTGGAGGAGGGTTTATAGGAGGCGGACTCCTCGGCGTGACCACTCCTCTGCTGGGACGAGGTTCTGTGGTGTCGTTTGGATCAGGTATCCCCTTGTGCGTTAGGGGTAGGCCCTCGGGGAGAGCATTGTCTCCGAGCGACGTGGTGGGCCACGCCGATGATTTCCAGAAATTGCAGGCGAGGCCGTCCTGCAATAGCAGCGGCGTTAGCTCCGCTAGTGCGCCGAGCGTTGCCGTTGCGGGTCCTATCAAGGTTATGTTGTCTATGTATGCGAGCACCGTGACATCCGAATGCGCCGCTCCAACATGTCTGAGGCGATGCTGGATAGGCGCCGCGAATAGCAGGGGGGCTAGGGGATCACCTTGTTTGACTCCCCTTCCACTGGTGAGTGTTGTGGAATTTCGGTTTGGATCTAGCAGCAACGGTGATGATGTTGCATAGAACGAGTATGTGAAGGGGAGGAGAGGTGCTAGCGGGGATCCATAGACTGCATTGAAGAACGCGCTCCTCTTAATGGAGTTGAACACGTTCTCAATATCAAGCTGGAGGACCAGGGTGGAGGGATGCACCGAGGTGAGATATCTGACTGCGTGGATGACGAATTCCGCCCCTCCAATGACTGCCACGACGGAGAAGGAGGTGAGTCGAAAGAAAGCAAGCCTCTATCACCTACCACATGTTGCACTCTCCGCACTTCATGGCTGTCCTCCGTCTATGTCAGCATTTCTTTCCTAAGCGTAGACCATCATGTAATTGCAATTTCACTTGACTTCTAGTTTTCATTCTTTCTGAACGTCCTGACATTGGATTGTATAAGGATATGAAATTTCCCCATTCTTATGCTCATTCGTGTCTTTTCCATCCCTTCCTATCCTTCCTTAAAAACCCTTCTCCAAACATTCAGTTTGTGCCTTGCAGGCTAACAAAGCCTTAGAGGCACAAGCTGTTGTTCAGGATCCGTCACTTTGAGAACTTACGACGTATTCATTTCTCAACTAAACGCAAATCCGCTAGGTAGGATTGTGCGCCTTAAACTTAGCTACCATCTCCAATTCGAATCACTTAGAAAGATGGTCTAGAGAGTGAGAACGGTTTAAAAACGTCCAGCAGCTGCATAACTAGAATAGTGGAGGAAGTGCAAGCATTAAGGCATAGAATACTTGGAGTTGGGGGCTCCAAGAAAACCATGAGAGGGAAGGGGTTAGCTAGGGAAGGACGGTAGGAACCTTCCTAGCAGCAAGGATGCAACCCTCATCATGAGGTCCTTGAGGTGTCACATGCAAAATCCAATCTAGTCAGATTTTGCCTCATTTGCAACCCATGCTAGAAACTTCTAGCCACCCCAATCCAAAAGTCAAAGTTGCCTTCCTAACCACCCAACCAAAGATCCCTTTATAGTCATGTCCCAATAATCGCCCAATGTACATAATATCTCAACATGAGATAGAATTCCCGAAACTTGGAAATCTTGTAACTTGGGCGATCTTGGTCGGAATAAGGCGATCTTGGTATCGTTGGAAAGCTCTGAATTTCTCCTGCATGATAAAGCATGTAGACTTGGAGAAAAACACAGAGATGATAATATCCAACAGCCATGCACAATGACATATGCTCATGCAAACAATGCACGCATGAATAGCACGAGCACTCGGCAGGACGTTAGGATGACATGCACTCAAACTGAAGTGCATTCAACACAAGCTTCGTTGTTCGAGAGCAAGGTGAAGGAATTGGTAGCGCAGCTGGTGAGTGATAGGGATAGGTGGAGGCTGGAGGACAGCAGGGAGGCGCAGGGGGATGGTCCAGAGTTCATTGCTGGACTTGGTGTGGAGGGCTGTAGCCTGCTGCACTGCTTCTCTTTCTGTCACACATCTTAATCACCCCACCCCCACATTCTCTGTGGCACCCACGGTTTGCAGGAGGAGCAGGCCACAAGAGAGAGCTGGCTGATGCAGGGGCCGCAGCTGCAGGGTGAGGGGCTTGGGGGCAGGGGGGAGAGGGCGGAGGAAGGGGAGACGGTGGCGAGGGGAGTGATGGTGGGGGGGAGTACGAAGACTGGTGGGTGGGGCAGGAAGAGCGGGTGGTGAGGAGGGACGAGGAGCAGGGGCAGGGGTGGGTGGGGGTGGAGGGAGCGAGGGAGGGGTGGAGGGGGGCGAGGGAGAGAGTGTGTGTGCGGTGGGGGCGGCAATAACGGCCTTGGATGTGTCTTGGAGGGCGCTGCAGAACAAGTGCATTCCAATGGAGGTGAGAGGGCGTAGCTGTGGGATGACTGGCGTAGCGTGGGGCCATGGGGCATGGGTCAGGGGGCGTGGGGCATGGGCCATGGGGTGGGGTGGTGTGGGGGTGGGGGCGGCAGCAACGACCCTGGGTGTGGCATAGACGGCACCGGAAGCAAACGGATTCAGGAAAAGGTGAGGGGGGCAGCAAACATTTGACGACTAGCATTGGGTGGGTGGAGAAGGGCAGAGGGTGTGTGGCAAGGGTTGGGTGGGATGTGCTGCTTGCAAGCACCAAGGATGAAGCACATTCAGGAGGAGGTGAGGTGGCTGGGGCATGCCATGAGGGATGTGACACAGGACTATGTTACCATATCTTCCAGATTGTCTTCGTATTTTCTGTTTGCTTTCTCCTGGGCCTTAAGGGCAGCCTACCTCCCCTCCTCCTTCCCGCCGCTCTTCTCTCCGCCATAACACCCTGCCTATTTACGTCCTATACATGTTTATCCATGGCCTCAAGGACAGCCAGCACTCGGGGCACCGGCGCCTCTCGTGCAGCTTGCAACTGGAAGGGGCAAGGGCAGGGGAAGGAGGGGAGGAAAGGGAAATGGGAGGAAGATGGGGAGGGGAAGGTGGAGAGCCTGATACCGTAATCTCCCAGCAATAAGCCATTGGGGTCTTGTAAAAAAAAATCTAGAAAACGCGCAGGATGAATTCGTTACGTGATTCATTTCACGCGCAGGGGTGCAGTGCAGAACTGAATTCACCTCGCGGATTCTAATGTTGATTGTGACAAAATACGAAATCTGCCACGCGGCACGCCTGTGGGGCGTGAACTGGACCACACTATACCAGACGTGCGGACTGATAGCACGTATAGTTTGACATATGCAACTGTCAACTGGTGACCCTGGCACTGCACTCGACGTTGAAGCTGTCGCAGACAATTTTCATGCTGGCATGTGTTTGGACAGAGTCATGGCAGAGTGTAACCGTCGGACTATGCGATGGTTTGAAAACCATAGGACATGTGTGTGGAGGTGTCCATTGTGTCTTTACACGTCACTGCTGTAAGATTTGTGTTGGTGTCCAGGCCACCTCCGGAACGTGGCTTACAAATTTCTACACCTATGGCTGTTTATTGACATTTTCGGCAATAAATCGACAAAATGGACCACCCTTAAGGTTTTGGAGCTTACGGTAGTGAGCATTTCAAGCCGAAACTTGGCTAGAAGGCACACCAGAGCATCTGAATATGCAAAAAAACATTGCTATGGTGCAATAAAATTTCAACACCTATAGTTTTTTATTGGCATTTTTGGCAATAAATAAGAAAAAATGGACACCATTAAGGCTTTGGAACTTACGTTTGTGTGCATTTCAAGCCAAAACTTGGCTTGAAGGCACATCAGAGTAAGGACCACATCGATATACAAAAACAGAGGTATGGTGCAATACAAAATTCTACCCCTATGGTTTTTTATTGGCATTTTCGGTAATAAATCGGCAAAAATGGCCACAGTTAAGGTTTTGAAACATACATGTTTGCGCATTTCAAGCCGAAATTTGGCTTTAAGGTACATCAGAATACCAGCCACCAAATATGTGAAAGCATTGCTATGGTGCAATATAAATTTCTATACCAATATTTGTTTATTCGCATTTCGGCAATAAATTGGAAAATTAGGCCACGCTTCTAGCCAAAAATCGGCTAGAAGGCACATTGGAGTACATGCCACCTAAATATGCAGAAACATTTCTATGGTGCAATAAAAATTTCTACGTCTATGGTATTTTCTTTGCGTTTTCGGCAATAAATCGGAAAAAAAGGCAACCGTTAAGGTTTTGGAACTTAAGTTTGTGCACGTGTTGAGCCAAAACTCGGCTAGAAGGTCTTGACAGCTAATATGATTTAGAAGCTATATGCACGCCCTTAAATTCACACTTGTTCGTTCTCATGGGGTCACCTCCAAGGGTCCTCGGGTGCCTGGCAAAGCCAGCCCCTAACCAAGGGTCCGTGTTTCGTAGAGGGACACACTAAGTGTAAGTTCAATCGACGACACTAGAGCTTTGCGCAGTGTTAACGACGAAATGAATCGTGTGCAGAATTAGCTCTTCACATAAATATGTTGATAGAGCAATTTTCATTCACAAAAGAATTGATTACAATCAAGCATTTCACACATATATAGAAATAACTATGCACGAGCAAAGGCAAACATTGAACAGTTATTAAATTGTAAGTGGACTTCACCAGGTTGTCTTGGTAAAGCGGTTGTCAAACTTCAGCTGCGTTTGGCTTGATCCGACTTTGTAGAAAAACCGTCTTCAAATTACATGTTCCCCAAATGCCTCAGCTGCCTCCCCTCATGAACGATCATGAACGCAGATGTAGAATCATGCTTGCTCGTGTGGGATTACTGTTTTCCCCAAGACTTTACAATTGAAAAGCGTTTTGCACCTGTAATTAAACAGTCACGTTACGCGCGCGACTTTATGCGAAATTCACTGTTCGCCACGTCACAAAAGACAAGCTCGAATTTCAATTATTCAACTGAAATTTCGAGCCGATCCCAAGCATCCCTCGGGATCTCTCGGCACTCCCAGAAACACACGCACACACCTCACGTGCCCAATTATGCACGACCAGAGAAACTGGCCGTGCTCTTTTTGCAATCATGGGACTTACTATGCGCGCAACAGTTCCACGGCATACGCGCGAAACCTGGACCCCACGTGTGGGTCCTGATTCTCGTGCCACTTTACCTTGACTGACGCGAAAATATCCCAGCAGCAAAAACGCTCGCCACTCGAATAAACACACATTAAAAAACATGACAAAAACCACAAACAAGCATGAGAAAACATGATCGTATATAAACGCTCATGAAAGTACATGATCGTTTATGAACGTACACGAACAGCACGCAAATGCTAATAAACAAGACGCGAAGGTCAATGAACAATCATGAACATTCGGAACTTCATGAGACACCACGAATATTCATGAAAACTTGAAACTCCGTGCATGCACTCACGAAGCGCATGCGAACATGTCAAACTTATATGCTGCTTGTTGTGTAGGCTATAGTGGGGTAGCCCATATGGGGTACAACCCAATTAGGGTTAGCTACTTGTACCCATCTTACTGCTAGTTCATTCATTCTCGTTCGTACTTCTGACATGGTATCAGAGCAGGTCCTAGCCTAGGACCGATTTTTTTTAGGGCCCACCGAGTCGCGCTACCCCACCCGTCACGCCGCCGTGTTAGCGCCGCGCTGCCCTGCCCTGCCCTGCGTCGCGCTGCCTGCGCACGCCCTGCCCTGCCCTGCCCGCGCGCCGCCCGCCGCCGCGCCGTGCCGCCTTGTCCGCGCGCCGTCCGCCGCCGCGCGCCCTGCCCTGCCCGCGCGCCGCCCGCCGCCGCGCCGCCCTGCCAGCGCGCTGCTCGCCGCCGCGCGCCCTGCCCTGCCCGCGCGCCGCTCGCCGCCGCGCGCTCCGCCCTGCCCGCGCGCCGCCCGCCGCTGCGCGCCTTGCCCTGCCCGCGCGCCGCCCGCCGCCGCGCGCCCTGCTCTGCCCGCGCGCCGCCCGCCGCAGCGCGCCCTGCCATGCCCGCGCGCCGCCCGTTGCCACGCGCCCTGCCATGCCCGCGCGCCGCCCGTTGCCGCGCGCCCTGCTCTGCACGTGCGCCGCCCGCCGCAGCGCGCCCTGCCCTGCCCGCGCGCCGCCCGCCGCCGCGCGCCCTGCCTTGCCCGCGCGCCGCTCGCCGCTGCGCCGCCCTGCCCTGCTGGCTGCCGCCCTGCTTTGCCCTGCCTGCGTGCTGCCCTGCTGCAAGCGTGCCCGCCTGCTCTGCCCACTATGGCCACTCTCAGTGTTCTCACCTTCGATCCGGAGGGCCGCCCGATAGAGTTCGATGCGTGGCTCGACGACTTACAGCTGTACTTACTGAGCGACTCTAAGGACGGTGTTTCACTGTTTGACCTCACGTCTGGCGCCTCTCTCGCCCCTGCCGCCACAGCTGACAGTGCGACTCGCTCACAGTGGCTTACCCGTGACGCTGCTGCTTGCCTAGCCGTTCGCAACCACCTGCCGTTAGCCGAACGCGCGCACTTTGGCCAGCACAGGACTGCTAGAGCCCTGTACGACGCTGTAGTCGCTCGTTACTCCTCCCCGGCCACTGCTGCTCTAGGCCGCCTTCTCCTGCTCTACCTGTTCCCAGAGCTGTCGGCCTTTGCCATAGTAGCCGACCTTGTCACTCACCTTCGCACTAGTGACACTCGCTACCGCGCTGCGCTTCCCGCCGAGTTTCTCACCAAGAACCCTCCTCCCATGTACATCACTCTCTACTTCATAGTCACCCGCCTCCCTGACTCTCTTAGCGCTGTCAGGGACCTCCTTCTTGCCCTTGACCCCACCGACCTCACTGTTGACCTGCTCGAGAAGCACCTCCTAGCAGCTGAGACTAGCATAGTCGCTGTAGGCGCTTCTCGTGGCACTCCTCGCACTCCTTTCTTTGAGGGGTGTTCGCCCTCCCCCCTTGTCCCCTCAGTCGCCTCTGCTGCAACTGTTGACTACCTTCGTGCTGAGGAGGTAGGAGCTGCGTCTGCCCCTAGTGGGAAGCGCCGCAGCGGCAGGGGCAGGGGAGGCAGGGGCGGTGGGGGTGGCAGCAGTGGAGGCGGTGGTGGGGGCGGTGGAGGCGGTGGAGGTGGCGGTGGTGGCGGAGGGAGTGGTGGTGGGGGTGGAGGCGTAGGTGGCGGCGGTGGTGGCGGCACTGGGAGTGGTGGCGGCGGAAGAGGTGGCGGCAGTGGGAGTGGAGGCGGCGGCAGTGGTGGCGGCCGGGGTGGTACCAGTCAGAGGGGAGGCTTTGGCGGTGGTCAGCGGCAGCAGCAGCAGCGTCAGCGTGAGACCCCTTCGCCCCAGGAGCTTCGTGACCGCTGGTTTGCTCAGCGTGGGGCGTCTGGGGGTAGTGGTCGCTGCCCGTATGTCATTCGCACAGGTGACCGCTCTGGTCAGACATGCGGGAAGTTTCACACACAGCACCGCTGCTTCTCCCGTCTTGACGACGCCTTTCGCGCAGAGTTTCCCGACGCGACTGAGCTCCCCCGCTGGGCAGAGCTCCATACGCAGGATGTGGATATATTTGCTCTTGATTATGATGCTATCCTTGCTGCCATGTATGCATTGACTGTTAGTGCTGAGGGTGACTGTTACCTGTGTATGCCACCCGACCCAGGTATAGAGGCCGCTGCTCTAGGTGCTAGTGAGTCTGCTGCTCTAGGTGCTGGTGAGTCTGCTCTCTCTGGTACTGCACCTCCTGCGGCCTTGCACACCTTCACGCTTGACTCAGGTGCTTCCCGCTGTTTCTTTCGCGACAGTACCACAGTCACACCACTCCCTGCACCTGTTGCAGTCTCTCTGGCTGACCCCTCTGGGGGCCCAGTCCTTGCACGTTCCTCCACTGTTCTCCCGTGTCCGGCGGTTCCGTCTGGCTCACTGTCAGGTCTTCACCTCCCCTCGTTCTCTACAAACTTAGTGAGCAACGCCGTCCTTCAGGATGATTGGGTTGACACCTTCACCCCTGGAGGACAGCGTGTGGCGATCTGTACGTGCTCCCGGACTGGCCGGTACCTGGCCACGTTCACCCGTCGGCCTGGGTCGAGTCTATACACACTGAC